AATACCAAGGGATCTATCAGGCAAACCTCTAACTAACATACAATTAAAAGTATTAAAGGGTTAAAATCTGCCCCAACTAAAACTTTTAAGCAATTCTTAGCATTTATTGATATAAACAAATTTGTGAAAAACGCCACCTTAAAAAGGTTTTATGTTAGTAGAGAAAATAACATTAGCAGACAAAGGTATGATGAAAACGTAACAAATACAACAATAAGACGAACACGGTCACAAATTCATACACTAAAAGTCTTTTAACCCCTTAAGGACACATGACGTGTGACATGTCATGATTCCCTTTTATTCCAGAAGTTTGGTCCTTAAGTGGTTAAAGAACAAAAGTAAATTTTACCCATCCAGTTTTAAATCTAGTGCACTTAAAATGTTTGAGAAAAATTGAAGGAGACAAATTTAATATCACAAAAAAAGAAAAAGATACAATTAGAGAACTACAGAATGACAATTCTATAGCCATAAAACCAGCAAACAACGGGGGCGGAGGTCTTGTAATTTTATCAAAAGCGATGTATGAAAAAGAAGCATACAAACAATTAAATGACCCTATAACATATATAAAATTAAAAGTAGACACAATATTATTGACCAAATTTGAAAAAACAACAATATATTAGACTCTAATGAATATAATTATCTTAATATGAAATATCCAAAAGTACTGGTAATATAGTTCTTACCAAAGATACACGAGAATACCGAAAACCCTCCTGGACGACCTATAGTTTCAGGCATTTGCTCCATCCTTTCAAATCTATCAGAGTTTATAGATATTATGCTCCAACCATACGTTAAGACAACCAAGTCATACTTAAAAGACCTCATTGACCGTCTGAACAAATTATCACATATCAGTTGGAGAGATGGCTACACATTAATTACATGTGATGTACAATCCTTGTACACCATAATCCCACATAACAAAGGATGTCAAGCCGTTAGAAATATCTTAAAAAGAGATGGGCTTATGCCCGAAAACCAAATAGATTTTATTGTTAAAGGAATTGATATGATTAAAAAAAACATTATTTTTGGCTTGCTGACTCTTTATCAGCATGCCAACAGCACAGCAATGGGTACCAGGTTCGCACCCAGCTATGCCAACCTCTTTATGATGGAATGGGAAGAAAGAACAGTGTGGAGGGGGCATGGCTGGGTGGAGAGCCTAGTGGCCTACTATAAATATATTGATGATTTGTTTTTAATATGGAATGGCCCAATACCCAACGCCCAGGATTGTATTACTTTTTTAAACTACAATGATGACGGAATAATATAAAACAGCTGTAACTTTTTTAGACTTCTATATATATATTAAAAATAATGAAATCCACACTAAAACACATTTTAAAAAAGTGCATGTAAATAAATTTATAGGTATGGACAGTTGCTATTATGATAGTTGGCTCAAGAGTATACCAAAGAGCCAACTACTAAGACTCAGAAGGAACTGTTTAGAGTTGGATATATTTAACAACCAAGCAAATGAAACCAAAGATACATTTTTAGAAAAGGGATATAACACTAGCACTTTAGATAAAATGATTGAAAGAAACCCGACACACAGAGAGAAAATTTTATTTCAAGTACAATACAAAGAACTAAAACGATAAAAACATTTAAATTACCTGTAGTTTTGGACTACAACAACAAAAATAAACAACTAAAGAAAATAAAAACAAATTGGCACCTCCTAAAAGAATATATACATACAATAGGTGGGACACACATCTGCAGATTCTAAAAAACAAAATAAAACATCATAGTGTAATATATCAAAATGCACTGTAATCTGTAGAAATAGAGCAGTATTACTCACAAGCCTAGAGCCAATTAGAACATATGGCTCTTATGTGCAGTGATCACAGTATTCCAATGTGTTTCCAATACAGGAACTTTATTGTGAAATAGCAGTGGATACAAAAAAAGAAAGTATGGAAATAAATATTCCCAATGTAAATGTAGTCCAATTAAAAGTCCAATATGTAGACTCTATAAGTCCAAAACGCGTTTCGCCCTATGGTGGGGGCTTCCTCAGTTGGCTTCAGTCTGTATATCCAGTGGCAGCTTCTTGGCGTCCTTATAAGGCACTTGTCTTCATTACTTCCGGGTTTTTCTGTGTTTGGAACGCATCCTGCGTTCCACCGCCGGTTGCTTGCGTGTCACTTCCGGTCTGACGTTGCGCCGGCGTCACCATGTACGTCACTTCCGGTTTCGGTCTGTGGGCGCTTTTGTGATGTCACTGGAACGCATAGAATCGGATCTATGCGTTCCACTGTAAATAGCTCTGTCTTTTACTTAGTCTCTTGGTTTTTGGACATCTCTAAATGATTTTTCGATGTATTGTCCCTTCTAAAGAGTTATACATATATAAAAAAACGAAACTATGCATATTCTAAATGTATTCTACATACCTGACAAAAATCTACATAATAATAAATAAATGTTTTATTATTATTACATAACAAATTTATATAGGTGACAATGGATCCATGTCAGTGATATCTTATCATATAGAAAGTGACAGCCCATAGGAAAATAGGCACATATGAAGAAATAATAATAGATAGAATGTGTAAAATATGTGTATAAAAAATACTTTATATTAAAAATATAAGAATATAAGAATATTTGGTAATTAGAGAAACTGGTAAATGAATTCTATACAAAAATTAAGACTAAAATTAGACCTTAAAATTTAAATAAAATGACAAATTTCGAAATCTGAATTCAGACCATGGGGAATTAAAGTGTTAAAGTTAAAAATGAATTTCATCTCTTCCGAGCCTATTTTTTTGTTGTAATCTCCACCTCTCCAATCTTTTTTAACCGTTTTGAGTGGGCAAAAGAAGAGGTGTTCTGGATTGAGGTTATGATAAAGCTTAAAATGATTGGAGACGCTGTGGGTTTCTAGACCTTTTTTAATATTTCGGACGTGTTCGGATATCCTAACATTTAAATTCCTAATGGTTCTCCCTATATACAATAAATTGCAGGGACATTTCAATAAATAAATTACTCCTTTTGAAAAGCAGGTGAGTTGTTCTTTTAAAATAAAATCAATTTTTGTATGTTCGTTAAGATTCTTTATATGTCTTTTTGGGTTTTTAGTTGTTCTACAGGCTAGACATGTCCCACATCCGAAATAGCCTTTACTCTGATTTAAAAAATGTGATATATTTTTAGTTGGGCCTTCGCTACTGTGCGTTAGAGATCTTTTCAGATTAGTTGCTCCTCTGTATATAATTTTAGGTCTTGTTGGTAACACATTATTTAGAATTGGATCTTTTTGTAGCATATACCAATGTTTGTTAATGATTCTATTTATTTTTTTATTATTTCCATTAAAATTGCATAAAAAGTGGGATTCTTTTGTATTTGAATTTTTTTTATTATGATGTTTATAAATTAATAACTGTTCTCTGGGAGTATCTTGAATTTCTTTTATGGCTCCAATTAGTTTTTCTTCTTCGTAGCCCTTTTCTAGGAACTGTTTCTTAATGATATTTGCTTGATTAATGTAGTCTTGTTCATTCGTACAATTTCGTCGAATTCGTAAAAATTGACCCTTTGGAGCATTTTCTAACCAGGGTTTGTGATGGCAGCTCTTTTTTTCTATGTATCCGTTGGAGTCTACTGGTTTGAAAAAATTTTTGGTTTTAATTTGATGGTTCTCAATAAAAATTTGAAGGTCTAAAAAATTAATACTAGTAGGGCTATGTGTGGTAGTAAGAACAATGCCCCATTCGTTGGTAGACAGACAAGCTAAAAACATATATAAAAGGTCTATCGTGCCATTCCAGATTAAAAAAATATCGTCTATATATCGTCGATAGGTCACCAAATTCGACACCCAGGGATGCTCTGAAAACACAAAAATCTCTTCCCAATACGCCATAAATAGGTTGGCATAACTGGGCGCGAATTTGGTGCCCATCGCTGTACCTCTGGTCTGAAGGTAAAAAGTGTTTTGAAACCAAAAAAAATTGTTTGTTAAAATCAGATGTATACCTTCCAATATAAAATCCCTTTGTTCAATCTCAAAATTTGCTTTGGTTAAAAAGTGTTTCACTGCTTCTAGGCCTGCTTCATGAGGAATTATACTGTATAGTGACGTAACATCGCTTGTTACCAATAGATGAGTGTTGTCCCATTCAATGGTACTTAGAAGTTGTAGTACGTGTATAGTGTCTTTTAAGTACGCTGGGTTTTTCACTACTATTGGTTGTAATAGTAGGTCGATGTACTCAGAGACTCTAGAAGAAATGGAGTCAATCCCAGATATAATAGGGCGTCCTGGAGGGTTTTGCAAATCTTTATGAATCTTGGGAAGATAATAAAATACTGGAATTTTTGGGTGAGGAATTGATAGGTATTCTCCTTCTTTTTTTGTTAATATACCTTTCTCCATGCCTTTTTGTATGTATTTGTCAAATATGTCTTTTACTTTTTTAGTTGGATCTGATTTTAATTTTTTATAAGTACTCTCATCAGAGAGAATTCTTTCTGACTCTGTCAAATATTGTGCTTTGGAGAGGATTACTATCCCTCCTCCTTTATCCGCTGATTTAATCACTAAATCATCATTTTTTTGTATTTTTTTCAAAGTATTTCGTTCTTGTGTTGACATATTATTTTGATATTTATTTAGTTTTTTTATTTTATTTATTTCTGTCATAACTGTGGTTTCGAATGCTCTCATTTCGTTAGAAATCATATTTTTGGGAAAAAAGTTAGATTTCTGTTTTAAATCTGTATGTATGAAGTTAGATTTGTTCTCCTGGTCTTGTCTTATCTGTATTGTATTTTCTCCTCCATGAAAAAAAACTTTTTTAAGCACAATTTTCTTAAAAATTTATTCATATCAATGAATAACTCAAAGTTATTCAATTCCTGTGTGGGCGCAAATTTTAGACCTTTTTTTAAAACTTGTAATTCTTCATTTGTTAAAATATGGTCTGTAAGGTTGAAAATTCCATCTGAATTTATTTTTTCCCTCTTTTTCCTTTGTTTCTTATTTCTTCCTCTTCTGTGTCGTAATCTATCGGTCTCTGGCGTTTGCCTGGGGATTCCCACGATGGAGGTTTTTCTTGCCATTTCAGTTTCTCGTGCATTGGATCCCTCCAAAAAACCGAAGATGAAGGTGCTGATGTAGTTTGATGGTCCTCTGATATTCTTTCCCTAATTCGTATCGGTCTTGTTGTATCATCATAGTGTATGCTATCTTTCTCATTTCTTTTTTGTTCTTTAGTTGGATAGCTTTTTGAACTGGGATTGGGATAATGATTGCCTATATTTCCTGTATCTGAATTATCTCTTTTAGGGGGATATTTCTTCTCCTTTTCATATTCTCCTCCTTCTTTTGGTCTATATGAGGACATCCTCTTTGTTTTACTTGGGCTATCTTGATGTAGACGCTTTCTATCATGTTTGTATGAACCTTGTTTAACTACATCACTATAACTTCTATTTTGATTTCTATACCTGTTATAGGGATGTCTATATGTGGTGTGAGGTAGTTCTTTGGTGTATGTGTTCCTTCTTTGTGCTTCTCTGTGAGATTTTAATTCTAAGGTATTATCCCTATAGAAATTTCTATCATGGTGTAATGGTTCTGATTCTTCCTGAGTATGTTGATAGTTCTTTCTAGGATTCTGTTTTTTTACATAAGAGTTGGATCTTTTGGGAAATCTTATATTGCCGGTTTTATAATCATTTGTATCCCTTAGATATTTCCTTTTTTTTATTTCGATGGTATCTTTCTCTGCTTTTTCTACTTTCATTTTAATTTCTCTTATTATCTGGTTAAATGTTTCGGGATTGGTTGTCTCGCTAAGCTGTTGTTTCCATAGCGTTATTTCTTCGTCTATTTGTATTAAATTTTCCTCTCTTCTAGATACAATGTATCCTATCATGCTGAAGGAAAATCCTTCGAGAAGCTTATTCCATCCCGACATAAAACAAGAATTATCTTTATCAAAAGTGGGTTCTTTTTCAAATCTGAGCCCTCTGGGTGTAATCTGTTCCTTAACATATTTTTTAAGAGTGGCTATTTCCCATTTGATTTTCATTTCACGTATCAGGGTTCTTTCTAAGTTGTTTCTACTTTTATCTGTATCGATATAGCTTCTATCACTATTTGTGTCTGCCATCGGGGCAAACATGTGATCTATATCTTTGATTGTGTAATTTCTGTCTTCTAAATAAGACATGATGAAATGAAAAAGGAGATCAGAACGTTACACCGTGTTTTATACCACTGAGAAGTGAATAAATTTTCTACTGTATATCAAAGGGGATTTAGTACAATGGAAATGTAGAGTAATAGAGATACAGTAAGAAAAGGTGTGTGTGGTAGTTAAAAATAACTACTGGCCACCTAAGTGGAAACCCCTTCTACCACTTAAATAGAAAAACAATATATACATACAATAGGTGGGACACACATCTGCAGATTCTAAAAAACAAAATAAAACATCATAGTGTAATATATCAAAATGCACTGTATTCTGTAGAAATAGAGCAGTATTACTCACAAGCCTAGAGCCAATTAGAACATATGGCTCTTATGTGCAGCGCAGTGGGACTTTTTATTTGGATGTCCCCATCCCTCTTGGTATTCCTCCTTGGGTAGAAGATCACAGTATTCCAATGTGTTTCCAATACAGGAACTTTATTGTGAAATAGCAGTGGATAAAAAAAAGAAAGTATGGAAATAAATATTCCCAATGTAAATGTAGTCCAATTAAAAGTCCAATATGTAGACTCTATAAGTCCAAAACGCGTTTTGCCCTATGGTGGGGGCTTCTTCAGTTGGCTTCAGTCTGTATATCCAGTGGCAGCTTCTTGGCGTCCTTATAAGGCACTTGTCTTCATTACTTCCGGGTTTTTCTGTGTTTGGAACGCATCCTGCGTTCCACCGCCGGTTGCTTGCGTGTCACTTCCGGTCTGACGTTGCGCCGGCGTCACCATGTGCGTCACTTCCGGTTTCGGTCCGTGGGCGCTTTTGTGATGTCACTGGAACGCATAGAATCAGATCTATGCGTTCCACTGTAAATAGCTCTGTCTTTTACTTAGTCTCTTGGTTTTTGGACATCTCTAAATGATTTTTCGATGTATTGTCCCTTCTAAAGAGTTATACATATATAAAAAAACGAAACTATGCATATTCTAAATGTATTCTACATACCTGACAAAAATCTACATAATAATAAATAAATGTATTATTATTATTACATAACAAATTCCCCATGGTCTGAATTCAGATTTCGAAATTTGTCATTTTATTTAAATTTTAAGGTCTAATTTTAGTCTTTTTTTGTATAGAATTCATTTACCAGTTTCTCTAATTACCAAATATTCTTATATTCTTATATTTTTAATATAAAGTATTTTTTATACACATATTTTACACATTCTATCTATTATTATTTCTTCATATGTGCCTATTTTCCTATGGGCTGTCACTTTCTATATGATAAGATATCACTGACATGGATCCATTGTCACCTATATAAATTTGTTATGTAATAATAATAAAACATTTATTTATTATTATGTAGATTTTTGTCAGGTATGTAGAATACATTTAGAATATGCATAGTTTCGTTTTTTTATATATGTATAACTCTTTAGAAGGGACAATACATCGAAAAATCATTTAGAGATGTCCAAAAACCAAGAGACTAAGTAAAAGACAGAGCTATTTACAGTGGAACGCATAGATCTGATTCTATGCGTTCCAGTGACATCACAAAAGCGCCCACGGACCGAAACCGGAAGTGACGCACATGGTGACGCCGGCGCAACGTCAGACCGGAAGTGACACGCAAGCAACCGGCGGTGGAACGCAGGATGCGTTCCAAACACAGAAAAACCCGGAAGTAATGAAGACAAGTGCCTTATAAGGACGCCAAGAAGCTGCCACTGGATATACAGACTGAAGCCAACTGAGGAAGCCCCCACCATAGGGCGAAACGCGTTTTGGACTTATAGAGTCTGCATATTGGACTTTTAATTGGACTACATTTACATTGGGAATATTTATTTCCATACTTTCTTTTTTTTATCCACTGCTATTTCACAATAAAGTTCCTGTATTGGAAACACATTGGAATACTGTGATCTTCTACCCAAGGAGGAATACCAAGAGGGATGGGGACATCCAAATAAAAAGTCCCACTGCGCTGCACATAAGAGCCATATGTTCTAATTGGCTCTAGGCTTGTGAGTAATACTGCTCTATTTCTACAGATTACAGTGCATTTTGATATATTACACTATGATGTTTTATTTTGTTTTTTAGAATCTGCAGATGTGTGTCCCACCTATTGTATGTATATATTGTTTTTCTATTTAAGTGGTAGAAGGGGTTTCCACTTAGGTGGCCAGTAGTTATTTTTAACTACCACACACACCTTTTCTTACTGTATCTCTATTACTCTACACCTCCTAAAAGAAGACTAACTTCTAAAGGATATTATCTCAGAGCCCCAAAAAATAGTCTTCAGAGGTGCCTCAAATCTAAAAATGCAATTAACTAAGAATTATACAAAAAATATGAATCTGATAATTATCAATAGCTTTTTTAACAGTAAACTAGGCTTCTACAGGTGCAATAGCTGTACGGCATGTGAAAAAACAATAAAAATAGACAAGTGTACATCAAGTTTTAAATCAAATAGAACCAATAAAATGTATAATATAAGGAACACCATAACTTGCAATAGTAAAAATGTTATATATTTATTGGAGTGACCTTTTGGCCTCCAATGTATAGGAAGAACAATAAGACCGTTGAAAACAAGAATTAGAGAACACTGCTGTAATGTAGAAATTGGTTTTAAAAATCATTTAGTTTCCTCTCACTTTCTTTCCCATAATAAAGATCCCAGTAACCTAACATTTATGGGTATTGAAAAACTTACACACCACTGGAGAAGTGGTAATATCATTAATAAACTTGGTCAAAAAGAGATGGAATGAGTATACTATTTAGATACCCTCCACCCCAATGGTTTAAATGCAGATTTCGACCGGTATAATTTTTTATAATCTAATAATTATGTTTTATGTAAAAAAAACAGATAAAATTTGTATCTTGTAATACCTTTTTTATTGGACTAGTAGAATTTTTTAATGACAAGCTTTCGGGAGAACCTCCCTTTCTCAAGCCTGAAGCATTTCTGAGCAAGACGGCACATAGAATTCAAAGTTGAGTTGTGATACAGGGGTTAAAGCGACATGAGTGCAGAAAAGACACAGGTTTGTTAGAAAATAGACACCATTTTTGAGGGTCCTAAATATCTTTCATAAGAGCAGAGTGAGGGGGGAGAGGGGGGAGAGGGAGAAGAAAAATAAGAAAGAAAAATAAACAAGCAGACAGTGCAGAGGATGGTACACTTTATACATACACACACATAAATATATATGCAAACGCACAAACACATGTACATATACATACATACATGTACATGAACTCATATACACAAATATAAATGCACAGTCACATATATAAGCATACATGCATAAGAGTATGGGAAAGCATAGGTCTGCACATAGTACTTTATATATTGATAGAATAAACATATTGGAATGTGTTTTAAAGTGTTGATACATATGACAGAACAGTAAGATAATGTTAGGGAGTGTTTTTTGTAAAGTGTTGGTAGTGGGACAGGAAACCCAAATCAATATCGAGTCCTCTATTCTTGCAGTTAGACCATTTGGTGCATTGAATCATGTATACCACATTGCTGGATATGCAGGAGTATGAACCTTTAATGCTGTAGGTTTTATTGTTGTGTGTGGCTGTGTTGTCTGTGCATTATTGCTGACACAGCTTGCTGCGAGATTTTTTTGCATTGACTGGTCCCATTTTCTTTATTCTTACCATCAGTGGGCAGCTTCCTGTTTATTAATTTTTGTTGGAGGTTTGGTGGTTGTCTGAAGGCCAAAATGGGTGTTTCAGAGAAAATGTTTTTCAGAGTCTCATCTTCTGTTAACATTGGTTATAGGTCTTTGATGATTTTCTGTATTTCCTCAAGAGCTGGGTTGTAGGTGACCACAAGTGGCACTCGTGTAGATATTTTTTTCTCTCTGTACTGTAGCAGGCGCGTGCATGTGATTTGTTTGGTAATAGCCTTTGGTTTGTAGCCTGTCTCATAGATTGGGAAAGTACATTTAGATGGGAATTACGGTCATTAGGATCAAAGCATTTGCGATGGTACCTAGTGACTTGGCTGTAGATGATGCCCTGTTTAGTATGGGAGGGGTGGAAGCTGGAGCTGTGTAGGCAATTGCACCTGTCTGTTGGTTTTCTGTAAACTGAGCTCTGGATTGTGCCATTGTTACATGTGTCCAGAAAATTCACAGATCTAGTGGAATATTCAATTTTTAGTTTGATTGATGGATGGAATGTGTTGAAAGAATCATGGAACTGTATCAGTTTTTCTTCGCTTTCAGTTCAAATTATGAACAAAACTCCACTTGCTACTACGCACAGATCACAGTATGCTGAAAACCTGTGTAAACGCACTAGTGAGAAACTAAGGAACCATCTCATCCACCAGCTCTACAACATTATGTTTTAGATATTTATATACCCCATCTATTCTTATCCAGTTTTTCTATTTGACCCTTTTTTCGACATTTAAGGACTATTTTCTCCACTTGATTGCTTCTTTAATATGTTTTTATTTTATGTGTTATATTTGTTATTAAAATCTTCATGCTTATTAACATACTCATAATTTTATATATATATATATATATATATATATATATATATATATATATATATATATATATATATATATATATATATATATACACACACACACACACACACCTTTTACAATTTATATAGGAATTCTGTTTTCTGTATTTTACTTCCATTTTGTCATAATTCTCCTAT